CAGGCCCAGAGTTCAGGCCCCACGACCGGACCCCCCAAAAAAAAAAAGACCAGCTGCATAAATACATTTTTTTCTTTTTAATATCTCACGCTAATTCTGCAAATAAACTTTTTCTTCCTTTCTCATAATTTTCTGTTTTTCCAGGGAGACACACAGAGAAACAACAGGTAAGAACTGATGAAAGTAGCATTTAACCCTTTTCATTACGTTTACTTGCCACTCAAGAGCCTTGAAGGAGACTGCTACTGCAGAGAAACCACTGCAGAGACAGCCCCCAACCTAACACCTAGCTCAAAGAACAGACTGACAGAGCTTAGTAAGGTTGAAGGAAATAATTAAAAGCAACAGAGAAAATAAAGGGTGCAATTACTTGGGAGGAATAATGTTATTTGCCATGTTATAAAGCATTCATGCAGATCCATTTTACTTTATCCATCATACAAAATCACTGAAATTATTTTGTTCCATTTTTTTTTGGAGAGGAGTGAGGGTCTGGCATGGGGCTTGAATTGAGGGCCCTAGGCATTATCGCTGAGCTCTTTTGCCAAAGCTAGCATTCTACACTTTGAGCAACAACTCCAGTTCCAGTTGTTTGAGTGGTTAATTGGAGGTAAATGTCAGGAGGATTTTTCTGCTACAGCTGGCTTCGAATCATGATCCTCAGATCTCAGCCTCCTGAGTAGCTAGTATTACATGTATAAGCCACCAGGACAGCTTGAATTTTTTTTTAATTTTTGAGATTTTCACAGGTGTAAAGATTACAAGTTGGTCCTGTGGGTGGTGATAATTCAGGGAATTTAACTGCCCTTCAGTGTCTTCTACGCTACTGCCCCAAAGACAGGTGGTCCTCCTATAGAGTCTGAATCACAGGAAATTCTCAACTACACTCTTTGGGAAAGGGGCAAATATATGAAGGGTGGGCTGTGGAAGTAAGTACCAAGATAGACAATGAGTTGTCTCAGGTGGGAGAATTTATAGGGCAAAACTGAATGTAAAAATAGAGAATTTTCAGCAGGACACCCATAGCTTATGCCTGTAATCCTATCCACTCCAGAGGCTGTGATCTGAGGATCTTGGTTTAAAGCCAAGCTGACCAGGAAAGTAGTGAGATTCTTATTAACCAGCAAAAAGCTAGAAGTGGATCATTTAGCTCAAGTGATAGAGTGCTAACCTTGAGCAAAATACTCATGAATAGCATTGAGGTCCTGAGTTCAAACTCCATGACCATCAGCAACACTCTCCCTCCTGCCCCCCCCAAAAAAAAGAAACCAGAGAGTGCAAGAAAGAGAATTTTCTAACTAGACTTCACAGATGCAAAACAATTGTCTTAGTGTGCCCTCTTTGTTTCCAAACTATCCAAGTAACTCTAAGAAATAGCAAATAAGGAGAAAAAAAAAAAAAGAAATGGTAAATAAGGTCCCCTTGGAATAGTCAACTAAGTAATTCGTCTGGTTCCTTTTAACTGGCAGGTGATAGAAATTGTTTAGATATCCAAAGAGTTCAGATTTCAAAGATAGAAATTTTTCCCCCAAATACCTCTAGTTTTAGTCATGACACTCATTTACATGACTAACAAATATTTGTAGCTTCAATGAATATCCAGTTTATAACAAGAAATTCCCTGCATGACAATTAGTTACCACTGTAAAGTACCCTTCTGGGATTAGTACTAAGGGATTAGTACTCTGCTCCACAACTCACCTGCCTTTGCTATCCTGCATGTTGGGGTTGGCACCAGCCTGCAAGAGGGCCTCTGCAATCTGAGCCATCTCAGACATCACACCTGCTGAGTGTTTTTTTGGACTGTACAATGCCACAAGGTGCAATGGTGTCTCTTGGGCACCCAACGTAGCAGCATTGACAAGGGCCCCGTTCTTAATGAGGAACGTGGAAGCAAAGAGATCTCCTTGAAAGGAAACAAAAAAACACACACACAATAAATAATTCAATACTCAGGGCAAACTCTTCTGGCCAACACTTCTTCAAAAGGCAATAGCTAATGAATACAGACAAAAAGGGACAACTGGATGCAAATAAAAGAATCTTTTACAATAACTGCAAGTAGAAACTTGTGATATAGACCATGGAATTAATACTCTAGTTTAAAAGGCTTCCTTATTCAATTTTTGATCACCTGTAATCATCTATATAGCTTCAAACCTTCAATACTCCTTTACTATTTAAGAATACCAGGCTTAGAGTCATAGCTCAAATGGCAAAGAGCTTGCTCTAAGTATAAGCCACAGTACCATAAAAAAAAAGAAAAGAGAAGAAAAGAGGAGTTGGGAATGTGGCTTAGAGGTAGAGTGCTTGTCTAGCATGCATGAAGCCCTAGGTTCGAATCCTCAGTACCACATAAACAGAAAAAGCCCGAAGTGGCACTGTGGCTCAAGTGGTAGAGTGCTAGCTTTGAGCAGAGAGAGACTCAGGGACAGTACCAAGGCTCTGAGTTCAAGCCCCAGGACTGACGAATAAATAAATAAATATATGTTTGTATTATGATTAAAGATCCATTTATAACTTAAGAAATAAAAATACTAGTTACATATAAAAATCTTACTTAAGGGCTGGGAAGGTAGCTCAGCGGTAGAGTGCTTGCCTTGCATACATGAGGCCCTGGGTTCCATTCCTCAGCACCACATAAGCAGAAAAAACCGGCAGTGACCCTGTGGCTCAAGTAGTAGAGTGCTACCCTTGAGCTGAAGAGCTGAGGGACAGCGCCCAGACCAGAGTTCAGGCCCCATGACCGGCCAAAAAAAAAAAAAAAAAACCTTACTTAAAAAGAAGTCAAAGAATAACAAAGGAGCCAAAATAATGAAGAGGCTCGGCACAATAGCTCACACTTGTAATCCAAGCTACTCAAAAGATGAAAATCAGGAGGATCATGGTTTGAGAAAAGCTCCATGCAAAAAAAGTTAGCAGGACCTATGTTAACAAATGTTAGTCAGATGTGTTGTTCACCATGTGGTACTAGCTGTACAGGAGGCCGAGTTTAAGAGGATCATAGTACAGGCTGGCATAGGCAGAAAACACAAGAGCTACCTGAAAAATAACTAAAGGAAAAAGGACTAGAAAGTAGCTTAAAGTGATAGAGTACCTGCCAAGCAAACACAAAGCCCTGAGTTCAAACAAATAAAAAAAAAAGTTAAAAAAAATAAGAAAATAAATGAAACACAAAAGAAGAGAGAAACTTTTCCATTACAAATGTGTTAAAACATTCCACTTAGCTGGGTGGAAACAACTGTTTGTCTCATGGGTGGAAACAACTGATGCCTCCAGTTGGCATCATCTAGTGCTTGTACAGAAAGTTTATCACGGTTTCAACTAAATAGCTTCCAAATTAAATTCACCCTCAACTTGAGATTTATCTGGATAACTCTGATGGAGAAACATATCTAAGTTATCTTGAGAGCTTGTTTGGAGCTCAGAGGTACTTTCTGCAGACTGGTACTCATGTGCCAAGGTCTATAGGATGAATTGCAAATGACCTCTTTTTCTTTTTTTTTTAAGGTTATATTTATATTTCCTTTAAGTATTTGTGCAAAGAAGGTGTTATTCAAATCAGTTTATAAGTTCAATGCATCTTAATCAATGTCACCCCTTTCAACATCCTCCTCTATCCTTCTCAACTGACCCCTCATGACGACATATACATATCAGTGAGATAAACTTTGCCTATAACCCTATGATTTTAGGCAACAGCCCTAAGTTTATTTATGGCTCAGAGTTTAATAATAGTTGAGATGTGCAGGAAGGTACTGGAAAGGCAGTTATGTTTTTTGTTTTTTAAAATTTTATTGTAAAGGAGATGTACACAGGGGTTACAGTTACATAAGTCACATAGTGAGTACCGTTTTGAACAGTTTTACTCCTTCCTCATTTTCTTCCAGTTTTTACCCTCCTGAAATCCCAGTCTACTAAGTTGTATAGTTCATTTCCAACACAAACTTTTGAGAAAACCTATTCATAGAAAAGGCCTTTAAGTCTGACCTGAAATTAGTTCTGACCCTTGACTGAAGGTTGGGTTGGCCTTGTAAGTTCTCACATCCCCAGTCTGCCCTGCCTGGGCCCCACTGGTCCCTTGGCCCATGCTGGAGGTACCATACTGTGCTGATGGCAGACAGATGCACATCAGAGGACTTTCATGAACTATTTCCTTCTGTACAAGGGTGCCTTCGGGCCTGGCTCCACACTGGGCTTTTCCTTCCAGCAACCCAAGTAACTTACGCCAGTCCAGATAGATCTTGATGACAAACTTTTGACAAGAAATGTTTAATTTATACTGAGCACTATAAAGGAATTGCTTGGTTTGGCTCAGAGCTCATGTAAAAGTCAGCCAAAAGAAAGTTGGCTGTGGATGCCCAAGATAGTGATCTTGGCAAAAATGCTGAGATATCTGCAATATAGACTTTATACAAGGATGTCTGAAATCCAGAAACCATCCTGCTCTCTAGGACTTTTGTCCATTACAATGTGTTCAAGATTGGCAGGAAACTGGAGCTTCTTGGTTGAATGCTTAGATCTCTGGAGAGCAAAAACTTCTGAGTCGGGATGTCAGTATCAGCATCCTCTGAATCACCAGCTTCATTTCTCAACTTCTTGTTTTAAGGTAAGAGAATATGGTTCCATGAATCCTGACCATGGGCCTGGCATGATCCACTGTATTCCATGCATTGGGTGCTCTGACACCTTCTCTCTGGTATGCACATGTCCTGTTCTTGGCTCCTGCACCTGGGAAAGGAAGGTCCCCATGCATCCACACACTTCTGGGACCTCTGTTTTTTGTTTGTTTGTTTTTTGTTTTTGTTTTTTAATGGAGAAAGCCAGGCACTGGTGGCTCATACCTGTAATCCTAGCTACTCAGCAGGCTGAGATCTGAGGATCACAGTTCAAAGCCAGCCCTGACAGAAAAGTCCATGAGACTCTTATCTCCAACAAACTACTCAAAAAAGCCAGAAGTGGCACTGTAGCTCAAGTGGTAGAGCGCTCACCCTGAGTAAAAGCAGCTCAGGGACAGTGCCCAGGCCCAGAGTTCAAGTCCCAGGACTGGAAAAAAATAATAAGATGAAGGATACCAAAAAAATACTGAGTAACTTCCCAGAGTATGACCTGCTGGTCCCATGATGGTCTACTGTGTTTCTTAAATTTGCTGACCAATTGCTGATGGATGTCACGTTGTTGAACTTGCTACTTCTTTAATTGCTTGCTAATGGATGCTGTGGTGTTCAACGTGGAACTTCTTTTTTGGTTTTTTTTTTTTTTTTGGTTTTTGTTTTTGTCAGTCATAAGCCTTGTACTCTGGGCTTGGGCGCTGTCCCTCAGCATTTCAGCTTAAGATGAGTGCTCTACCACTTGAGCCACAGTGCCACTTCTGGCTTCTTTGGTAATTTATTGGAGACAAGAGTCTTACAGACTTTTCAGCTCCGGCTGGCTTTGAACTGTGATCCCCAGACCTCAACCTCTAAAGCATCTAGATTACAGACATGACCCATTAGCGCCCAGCACTTTCATCTCTTATTAAGCCTATTAGCACTGGAAATGATTTTTTGTTTTTCTGAGACATGGTCCTGAACTCTGGTGCCTCCAAGAGGCTCAAGGTTAAAACATCTTCCTAAGCCAGGGCACCGGTGGCTCAC